TTGACGGGCAGCTAGGTGGCACAGTGGATAGAGCACCAGCCCTGAAGTCAGGAGGACCTGAGTTCAAATCCAACCTCAGACCAAAACACTTGACACTAGCTATGTGACCTTATGCAAGTCACTTAACCCCAATTGCCTAAAAAAAAAAAAAAATTCTTGAGTCAGGTGCTAGCCTTCTAGCACCTTCTATTTAACAGTATGCTTCTCAGAAGAGAAAAGTACCCCTGCCAGGATCATCCTGCATATGAAGGATTAAAGAAAGTCATGCCATAGCTGGATAAGAGACTGAAATCTTGCCAACCCTCCATGATAAATGTTGAGTTGCTCAGTGTAGGTCCAAGATAAATGTAAAACGTGTCTTAGCAGTTCCATAAAAGATCTATACTTTCAGGAGTGATTCTAATGAAAGTAAAGAGTTATTTGAGGATTATAGTATATCCTCTGCATCTGTTATTGACAAGAAAACCCCAAATGGGGTCACGAAGAATCAGACATGATTAAAATGACTGAACAACATCTGTTATTGTGCACCTTTGTGTTTTATGTATTTTCTGAGAGGTGAAGTTAAGGTTGTCTCATATATATTACCCATGACATACATTGATTGCCTTTATGGGAAGAGACTCTTACTTGTTTTTGGGAAAACCCTAGGTATGAGTCATATTTAAAATATTATTTTAGAAATATAACTGGACTTAGTTGGGTAGGACCTTGTTGAGTGTGTATGTATATATATTATATATGTATATATAATATGTATATACACACACTTAGCTGTCTATCTATCCATATATGTATACAAAGTATATATATATATGCATATATACGTTGTTCAGTCATTTTAGTCATGTCCGACTCTTCCCATCACTGAAACAACTGAACAACATACAGTTATATATGTATGTGCATGTATGTATATATGTGTGTGAGTGTGTATGTATCACACTTAGCCATTTAGTCATTAATGTGAAAGATGTTATAGAGTAGGAAACCCGAGAAATAAGAAACTAATTTCATAGATAAGGAAATTGATATCCTCCCAAGATTAAGTAAATAAGATTAAGTAAATTGATAAACCTCACAGTTAGTGGTTATTGTTGAGCTAGTGTTACAATGCAAATTTCCTGATACTCAGCATATTTTCCCCCACACACATACCACAATACTGCTAAATTAATTGTATCATTATTTGGTTCCCCTCTCCCCTGTCCCCAAACGTAGATATAAAAAGAACGGCTCTTTTTTTTTTTTTAAGCAATGTATAGGATGTCAGGATTTCCAATTAAAAGGGTCTTAAAGAATATATAATCAATCTTTGAATTTTATAGATAAGGAAATTGAGGCCCACAGAACTTGAAATTACTTAACAATTACACAGGTAGCAATTTATAGGGTTAAGATTTAAACCTAGGTGTTCTGACTCTAAATCCAAGGTTCTTTTCACTGTATCACACTGACTTTCCTATTTACGTGTATACACACACACACACACACACACACACACACACACACCCTATTATTTATGTAACAAGAAAATAACGCTTGGCCCTAAGGTGCTGGAGTTACTGTGCCCGCTTCCTTTCCACTAAGAGGAACCACTGCTCTAGATGCAGACATGTGGTCTGAGAAGTTTGTCTCCTAATAAGAAGAATTTTCTGGTTCATTCAAACCTCACCTTTGTGTCCTAAATACAAATTATTTCAAGCTTAGGTTTAAGTTCATGCCTAAGATTTCTTGGAGTTAAAAAAAAAAGAAAAGATACTAAATGCATAATTTGAATCTAGAATGGGACAAGTATTTGTTGATTATTTCTTACACACAAAATGAAAGTTAAACGGAGCACTCATAAACATTTAACAAAAACAAACTTAAAACAAAATTAATGGATTTCTACTTAATTTTGTTACAATTTGCTTTTTCAATTGACAAATATTTATTTTCTCTTCCTCCCACTTCTATCTCCAACTGGAAAAAAAAAACTTTGTAAGAAATATCATTACTCCCAAATTTGAGATGGCATATACTGATATACTAATATTCTCATCTTTATGAGAACAGTCCATATGTATATCAAGGATATCCCTGATAGCAAATATGAGACAGAAACAGGTAGGCCTTTACAAATGATTTCTACAGCAGACTGAAAGATATAGGGAATAGACTACGCTTATTATTGATCAGTTACAAAAAATGTAGCAAGATATAGCCTTAAAGGATCTCTTCCAATAAGAAAGCCTCTCTTACATAGGCTAAGACCATATAAGATTAAAATAATACATGAATATTTCACAATATTCAACCACTTTCTGATTCACATGGAGCAAGGCATCAAAAGGACAGATACATGTTCATCAAAGGAGTCTGCTGCTGTTGTGCAATATGTCCTACGAAGGATCTTCATAGAAGAGGCACTCTGTATTGCTGGTGAGGTGCTCCAGAGGCTCCCATATGAGAATTATATTGTACTCATTATATTAGCATAGTAATGCTAATGTAGTGCATAATTATTCTATTATAGCCCAGAAACCATTAGACTAATGATGTATACAGGAAAAACTAAATGTATGAAAAATGCATATTGTCCAGACTGACATGCAATTGGAAAGGACAATTCATTGAGCTATTTCATTACTTCCTAGGTTGACAAATATTATAGAAGGACTATGAGTTGGGCCTGGCAGTGAAAAGAGGAAGAAACAGTCGTATGAGAAATTGCACTGTTCCTTCAATGATCATAAGCTGTTAGTTGGTATGAGAACCCATCCTCTTTTAACCTTAGTATTCTTGTAGCGATGCCATCAGGTGTGAATCTTGAAATACTACAATGTCCAAAGAATCAATGAAAATTCCAAAGGATGATGGAAAAAATACCTGATAGGAGCAAGGAGACAATCCATTTCCAAAAATAACTGATGCACAGAAAAAAATATAATCTAAGAGAGATAGCAGATATTCTGGTTATTTGTCCTAGAGAGCAGAGATTGGTTTCTTGCCTTTATTTACAATAATCATGAGCATGAACACAGTGCTTGTCACATTTTGAACTCTTAATAAATGTTTGTTGACTAAAAAAATCATACAATATGAGAAGGTGAGGATAAGTAACAATCTCCATTGATAGAGAGGGGAAATCCAATTTGATAAGATCAGAGATACTTGAAGTAATTTTAACAATAATAAACTGGTAAATTATTCATTTGGGGAGCTTTATTCCTTCTTCTAGAGAAGAAATAGAGCTTCTTTCCAATGCTTCCAACCTCTACTTATATGCTACATATTCTGAAGTGAAGTTATGTTCATAAAGGGAAGAGAAGGCTGGCCTTGGAATCAGGAAACTCTAACATCAAGTCTCACCTTTGTCTGTATAACCCTGGGTCTTAGTTTTGTTATATTACTATATATACTATAAGTATAACACTTAAAGTATTAATGCCCCAGGAGACACTCTAAGATCATAAATTGTATTAAAGGAAGTTCTTCACCTAGAACTCTCTTGTCACGGATGAAGGAAGAAAGAGAACAAATATTTATTAGGCTTTTACTTTGTGCTAGACACTGTGCCTAAGTACTTTACAAATATTATCTCATTTGACCCTTAGAACAACCCTAGAAGGTAGTTGCTATTATTCATCCCATTTTATAGCTGAGGAAACTGAGGGAGATAGAAATTAAGTGACTTTCTTAAGGGGTACTCTTCTAGTAAGTGTACCGAAATTTGAACTCTAGTCTTCCCAATTCTGAGGCAGCTAAGTGGTGCAGTGGATAGAGTGCCCAACCTGAAATCAGGAAGACTCATCTCCATGAGTTCTAATCTGGCCTCTGACATTTACTAGCTATGTGACCCTGGGCAAGTCACTTAGTCCTGTTTGCCTTAGTTCCTCAACTGTAAAAGAACCTGGAGAAGGAAATGGCAAACCACTCCAGTATCTTTGCCAAGAAAACTTCTAAATTGGGTCACAAAAAGTAAGACACAACTGAAACAACTGAACAACTTCCTGATTCCATAGCCAGCAATTTATTCACTGGGCCATGTAGCTGTCTCCATAGATGAAGCCATAGGTCTGAAACAAAATCAATAATTCCCAAGAGTTTCAAAGTTGGAAATTTCCCATACCAGAATGTATAGAAACAGAAAAAGATTGAATTTAGTAGTTAAGAGGTCGATAATAAACTTTCTTTTTTGTGTGCTGAGAAATCTGAGTTTCTAAGGAACTCAGGCAGGACTTTAGAAACATTGTGCTTGGTACCTTTGATAAGAAATAAACAGCGATAACTTGCTGGCTACAAAATCGCCCCAGAGGTCAAATTGTTAAATTTAACATTAACACTTCCAAGTGTACTTTTCCTGCCTTTCCCCCTTTCATCCTCAGCTTTCTCCATGGCTCTCACACTATCCCAGCTGTCTACTCTGAGGCACTAAAAAACTCATTCACACTAAGGTGTTGGGGATTTAATGTATTTGCATTTTAAAAGATGCTGGAGAAAGGGGCAACTGCTCAACACAAAAGCATGAATTACTAATTACAGAAGTTCAGGTGCCAGTTGGTTACTTGAATTTAACATCATTTGCTTGAGCCAAGATAAGCAACTCAACACCTCTCAAAGCAACTGCTGGACCACTCAAGCACTGTTGTTTCCAGACTGTCTGATTATCATGATGGCCAAACCTGAAGCACTGAATTAGATCAAGTGGTTAATCTGTTTCAGTTGTTTGAGGCCAGTCCTGTAGTAGATATCATGTGCTGCTATGGAAATGATAACTTGCCAAATGAACTAATTTTTTTTAGTGATGTGAATGTGTCAATCACATGGGATACACCTTCAACTTTCTCAAACCTAATTTTGTCCAGCAATTGCCACTTTAAGTGTGTCATTTTTTTTTGGAGGTAATGATGTTAAGTAACTTGCCCAGGGTCACACAGCTAGTGTGTCAAATTTTCCAAAACAATTAGTCATAGACCAAGCATCTTCAACTGCCGTTAAAAATAATCTTATTTATGGTGCTTGTTTCAACAGCATTTATACTAAAATTGTAACGATACAGAGAAGATTAACATGGCTCTTGCGCAAAGATGACATGCAAATTCGTGAAGCATTCCATTATTTTTGGGCAGCTACGTGATGTAGTGGATAGAACTCCAGCCTTGGAGTCAGGAGGACCTGAGTTCAAATCTAACCTCAGGTACTTGACACTTATTAGCTATGTGACCATGGGCAAGTCACTTAACCCAGATTGCCTCACCTTAAAATAAAATAGCCTTATGTTGATGTAGAATGTTTGTATGCATTTATATTGTGATGAGGGACTTCTTTTAGCTCTCAAGTTATTATATTCTCTTCTGTATTATAGATATCAAATAATAATAGCTCACATTTGTATAGTACTTGAAGGCAGTAGAGTCAAACTCAAATAGAAGCCAATTCCTGTGGGCCGTATATTGACTTAGAAAACCACAGCTTAACGTTATCGATAATGTATTTTTATTTGTTTAATATTTTCCACTTACATTTTAATCTGGTTGAGGCACACTCTTGGGGAGTTTTGTGGGCCACTTGTGACTGCAGGTCTTTAGTTAGATACCTCTGCTATGAGGTTTACAAAGTGCTTTTTCTACTACAGCTTTATGGGTAAGGTATTCATTTAGCTCCATTTTACAGATGGGGGAATCAGAGCCACAGAAGGATGAGGTGAATTGCCCAGGATGAGACAGCTAATTGGTGTCAGAGCGTGAAGTCTAAACCAGACCTTTCGATTTCAAGCCCAGAATGCTTCCACTACATTGTGGTGTCTTCTCATTTAAAATGAATGCAATGCCATATATGATGTATGTGACATATCTTCCACCAACATTAGCAGGTGGAAGTTCTTAGCACTTCTAGCAGGAACAGCATCTCAATTATCTTTGCATTTTCCTCAGCCCTTAATATAATGCCTTGCGATGATTTGCAAATGGTTGTTGAATAAATACAACCAAAGCCTGGCTTTAAATCCCTGGTAGCTATAGAATCTGTCCCAAAAGTCTCAGTGCAGTTTTAAGCTATTAAAACTTAAAGCTGTATTGCTTCTTTTAAGCTATTAAAGCTTAAAACTTTGTACTCCATGCATGACCGTGGGCAAGTCACCTGTCATTCATCATCTGTAAAATGGGGATGACACTAGTAGCCTTTACCTTACAGAATTGCTAGGGGGAATCAAATAAGAAAGTATGCAGAATTCTTTGCAAATTTCACTATTCAAATATCCACTATGATGATGATGATGATGATGCCAGTGAATATACATTAACTATATACATAATATAAGTATGTATAATAGTGCCTAAAAGGTTATTTTTTAGAGAATTGGAGTAATGTTAAAGACAATTCAATAAATATTTGTCAAGTATCTACTATGTTTAATGCACTGTGCTGGGGGGAGATACAAAGAAGAAACAAAAGAAGGCAGCTAGATAGTTTACTAAGTAAAAACATCTTGACTTGGAGTCAGGAAGGTCTAAGCTCAAATCCTGCCTCAGACATTTATTGGTTGTGTGACTGTAGGCAATTCACTTGAGCCTTCCAGACTTAATGTCTTCATCTGTAAAATGAGAGCATTGGACTTTTTGTGTTAGGTCCCTTCCAACTCTGAGTGATCTTGAATCTGGAGGTCACATTGGACTAATGGAAGAATGTAATAGCTACAATACATTGGTATTTTCCAAGCAAAACAGATCAAGCATAAAGAGATCAAGGAGAAAACTATAGCTGAATACAACAAATGTAAATCTGGTTATTGGCATTCTGAAATCAAGACTGAATGGAAAGAACAGAGTACATTTAAAACAATGAATATATATGTAATAGCAATGTTAATGTATACTTTCAGAGCCTTAAAAATAGAACATAAGAGATTTGGAAACTATCCTAACAAAAACTCATATATACATTTATTGTTAACAAAATGTAGGTGTATAACCAATATCAAATAGCTTGTTTTCTCAATAAGGGGTGAGGGGAGGTTGGGAGAGAATTTGAAACTCAAAATTCTAAAAAATAAATGTTAAAAATTGTTTTTATATGTAAATAAAATTTAAAAAAAAAACATAGAGTGCATCACCTTAAGGTAGTTAGAGAAAGATGAACACTTACAAAGGAAGCAAAAAGGAGAAAGAAGATTGATAGACAGTATTCAAGCACAGGATAAACAGTTAAAAAAAACCTGCAGAAATGCTTTTAAAAACAAAGAGATACCAATTCACTGAGCTGGTAACAGGTTCAGGCCATTGGATTTGTAAAAAATAATTGAAAGTGAGAATCTTCTTCTTTAGTTCTGTACTAGATAGAAAAGCTTATTGCTGTTTCTTTTGCTCTCATGAGCCATTGATCTTTTTGGTAACCTGTTAGATATTTATTGAAGTGTATTTGGGAGAATTGGCATGCACTATAGTTTTTCACATCACAATCTTAATTGGAAGTCTCCAAGAAAGAAGAATTGAAGAACTCTAGGTTACAAAAAAACTTCACAATGCAAATTACAGAAATTGTATTTAATAATGAAATAGATGACAAAAACCAACATTGATATCTCAAATGATTTTGGAAGGGAGATAAACTTAGGCCAGAATTTTGGAAAGCTTTTTTTGAGTTTGATGACATAAATCTAACTAGCAAACTAGTTGAACCAAAAGAATAATTCTTAAAACCTAGTATTTGTGATAAGCACCATGAACAAATTCTCCTAAAATATTTGACAGAAAGTGTAAAAATATTTCAGGAAGAGTGCTCATCAATTGGAGAATGACTGAATGAATTATTGTACAAGAATGTTATGGAATATTATTGCACAGTAAAAAATGAAGAAAGGGATGATTTCAGAGAAACCTGGGAAGACTTGTACGAACTGATACAGAGTAACTTGAGCAGAACCAGAAAAATACAATTTATCAGTAACAGTAACATAGAAAGGAAAAACAATTTGGAAAAATTTAAGAACTCACTCTGATTAATGCAATGATGGCTTCACAGCATTAAGAAGCCAACTTTTCAATTTAAGATTCATAGAAAGGTATATCAATCATAGAAGAGTATATCAATGTCTAGATGATACAGGACATAGAAAACTTGGAATGCTATTTCACTCAACTAAAGACAACAAAAGAGAAACTATAGAAGCTTCAGAATTTAATAAACCAGGGGCCCAAATATTCCACAATTGATCATGAATTACTGGCAAGGAATTTTATCAGCTTTTTCCCAGACATAAGCCTGTACTACTTTTCTTAACAGAAAACATTGCATAGCTATACCTGAAGATAAGAACACAAGTGACTGATTCAAATATAGGCAAATTAAATGTTCATGTATATTATATGAAGTATTTATAGGTTGTATTAAAAAGAAAAAATCTATAGATACTTAACAAGATAGTAATAGATTAATTATGGAGCAAAAAGCATATGCAAAAAGGCTCCCATGGATATAAAAAACAATATGTTATCTACTTGGTCATTATTGAACAAGCTGCCCGAAAGCACCAGATCACATATATTCAGGATTCACTGATTGTCATAAAGCCTCAGTTCCATACTCATGACCTATTTGCATACTGTAAATACACAAAATAGTCCTAAATACATTAAGAATTCTAATTTACTTAATTTCTACATGGTGAACTACTCTCTGTTTAAAATATTGAACCAGCACAATAAGGTTGAGAACAATTCACATAAAATGTGTCATTTTCCATGGAGACACTATGGCCCATAATGGCTCTGCTAGCCTTACTTCCATTATCATCTTTCTTAAATGGAACTAGATATGGCTTCCAAATGAAAGATGTTGATTCAAAATAATTCATTAACCACCTGATGTGCATGGATAGCATTAAGTTATTATTTATCTCCACTAAAAAAATAAATTTAAAAGCACCTTCATCTTGTGGAAGCTTTCTTCAATGATATTATTATATCATTTCATCTCACTGACATAAAGTTTTTAACATAGGCTGAGGAAAGAAAGAGAGCAAAAGCTTTAAGCTTGAATCTGAAGACCACATTCACCCAATAGATGAATGCAATGGCAATAATAGCTAGGTCTTTTTCAGGCAAAACACATCAAGCATAAAGTTGTCACAGAGAAAGCTTATGACTGAATACATAAGTGACTAGTGCTGGCATTCTGAAATCAAAGCTTAATGGAAGGAACAGAACACATTAAGCAATGAATGTCTATGTAACACTAGTGTTGATGTATGCTCTCAGAGACTTAAAAATAATACATGAGAGATTTAGAAACTATACTATCAAATCCCAATATATACATTTATCATTAACAAAACATAGGATCTATCATCTTAAGGTATCTACAGAAAGATGAATACATGAAAAGCAGAAAGGAGAAAGAGAAATTAATAGATTATGCATGAATGTGATAAGCAGGTTTAAAGAAAACTTATGGGAGTATTTAACAAGGAAACACTCTGAGTTCACTGAAGAATAGTAAAGGATGATAACAGGTACAGGTTTTTGGATTTTTTGAATGTCATTAAAAGTGACTCACTTTTGGAAGCAACCTATGAAATGACTAAAATCCAAGAGTGGAATCAAAAGGATTTCCATGGGCAACATTCAACAATATGTTGAAAAAGAATGAAACAAATGAGTCATCTAGATTTCTTACGGAAATGGAGCTGCTTATGACATCCTAAATTGATGTCTCCAGGCCTGAAGCTCTATCCACTATGCTGTCTAGCTACTCCAGAAAACTCTGCCAATAAGCTGTACAGTAAATACTGCTTTCTACAATTAGCTGAAAATGCCTCTGATTTACTAAAAAAAAAATTTAAACACTGTTTGTAATCAAAATTACCACCCCAAATATTCATAATCTCTAATCAACATGGAATGAAAAATGTAGAGACCAGGCTAATTAGATCAAAAATATTATCTTGTCAGATACCAGAGTTGTACGAAGAATGTTTTTAGTGAGCATAATGGAAGTTGAGCTTGTATCCAAATATTTGTATTCAGCTACATAAAGTATTTATTTAATCCACCTGTGCACACAGAATATTGAATATAAAAGAATGATAGCAGAAGTGTTTCTATCTGAACCTCATCAAAAAAAGAT